AGTTCGAGGATTTTGTGCTGCTCTCACTTACCTCTGTGCAAGGTGCAGAAATCAAGCAGTAACTCAGGCACGTCCTTACACAAAACAGGAACACATCCTATGGCAAAGAATGGTGCTGATGCAGGTTCCAGCTTATTTGAAGTCCCAGAGGAGGGCTGGGGCATAGGGGAGAGGGTATCCCCCCGAGTAAGGCTCCTACAACCTGTTGAAAGCCCAGAAGCCCCAGAACAAACAGCCCCCAACTATGGCCGGTGCTTTTGCCCCCACCCTGTGGGAGGGGTGATTGCAGATACATCACACCTGCCCACGGGCCCGGGCTCTGGCCAGAGCTGCTGCCCTGGGAGCACTGTGGGGCTCAGGTGCAGTGCCTGCAGCTGATGCCTTTCAGCTGTGACACAACACGGCCTCACAGGGCATCCTGCAGCATGGCATGGCATGGCACGGCACAGCACAGCACTGCACAGCACCCTGCAGCACGGCACAGTCCCCCACACACTGCGTGGCCTCGTGTGGCAGCACCACTCTCACACTCTCTCCATTTTTGCCCCATCCCTGGAAGTGTTCAAGGCCAGGTTGGACACGGCTTGGAACAAACTGCTCTAGTGGAAGGTGTCCCTGCCCACGGCAGGGGGTGGAATGAAATGGGCTCTAAGGTCACTCCCAATCCAAGTCATTCTGGGATTCTATGAATTTTTAGCTGCTCCATGTTCCCACTGGAAGTGTCAAAGCCAGTGGCAGGTGTCACATCTGCTGCTGCAGCGCTGCCCACCAGCCCCTGCACCACACTGTTCTCCTTTTGGCACCAGAGCCTCCCTCAAAGGGGCAGCGGGAGGGCACCCTCAGCTCCTCCGTTCCCTGACACCCACAGCAGGATCAGCTGTTGTGGGGCAGGACGATGCTGCACAGGGGACAATGTCACAACCCCGATGGAGCAGCTGGGGCAGCAGCTGCCTCACTGCCAGCCCAGGACCTGGTGTGTCCATCCCAGGCAGGAGTGTTTGGTAAATGACCACTGCGGCAACCTCAGGGCAGCCCCAACTTCCAGCTGGCCACAGCACAGGGGCTGCCTTGGCATGGAAGCAAATCCTCCAAGTGAAACCCAGGGCACAGCACAGTAACCCACCCAGACCCCTTGAATCGGTACAACGTGTGGGAGTGGGATGGCAGAGAGAGGAGCAGGAACAAAGATCCCAAAAATACTAAAATGGCACAGTCTGTAGGCAAAAGTTACCAGAGGCACTGTGATGAGGACGGGCAGCCTGTGGCAGGGAGGGACGGCCCCACACCCGCTGCATCCCGGGGCTGTTGCACATCTGCAACCCCTTTGCTTTCCTTTTTTCTTTTTTTTTTTTTTTTCCTCCTCCCAGATCACTTTAAAGGTCCAGCTTAGGGCATAATTAGCAAAGCAGTTAAAGTGGCGACCTGGCGAGGGCAGTGACCTTCAGCGGTGGCAGGAAGCGGCAGCGGTGGGTGGGCTGGGGGGGGGCACAACACCGGCCAGGCGCCCAGGAATCAGCACTGGGTTGTTAAAAGCTCCTTCTCCAACCCCCATCACAGCCTCGGTGCCTTCATCTGCTCGAAGAAAATGGGCATTTTGGTGAAATCGTGATGCTGAGCACCCGTCCCACAGGCTGCACCGGCATCACTCGCTCATGAGCACGATGCCCCATCCTCTCTCCATCCCCACCTGGGCAGCACCAGGGACAAACCATCACCCACAGCCAGGAGCTTCCCCACTATCAGTTGTCCCCCAGCACCAGCACGAGCCCATTGTGTCCCTGTTGTCCCTCAGCACGGGCTGTTGGGCCCATGGGACCGTGTTCCCACTCAGGGCTGTCTGCGGCCGCCGCGCTCCCTTATCACCACGGCGACCTTTGCTGGTCGCAGATTAGGGGCTGGAGCCGGTTGGATTTGTTTGATTTCTGTTGATGGTTATTAGGCAGAGGAAGTGCCAGAAGGGATTTTGACCTCGAGTTTAAACCTATTCCAATTAGAGCCACTGAGCCTTTAATTACTGCGCTCCGGCCACTTCAGTTAAAGCAACAACAAAAACAAACACAAAATCTAGTCAAAGATGGGTTTTTCTTCCCATTGTTCTCCAATCTGCCACCTACTTTGTCCATGTGCTGTGCGACTGTGGTATGGAGCATTTTGGTTTTTGCCCACCAAGCCCCTCATGCTGCCCTCCAGATCCAGCAGTGACACCACTCCAGGACGATGCCCAGAGCCAGGAGTCACTGCCCTCACCTACCCCCTCACCCACCACCTACCAGTGCCCAAAGGATGCTCCAAGAACAATCTCCTGGTGCCCAGGTGGCTCCAGTGAAAAACACCTGAGGTTACAGCTCAGTGGCCCATTAAAGCTCACCGAGAGGTGATGGATATTTTGCAAACACCGATTTCCTACTTGGCATAGCCTCTGTTAAGTCAATTTTTTTTAAAAAAAGCAAGTCCACAGCACTGTTGTACTTTGCTGCACTTGGCCCTGGGACATGGACTGTGTTTCACTCCCTGGGACACTGCACACTTCGACTTCTGGCACAGACTCTTCCTGACACTCCAGAGCCTGGGCAGAAATCCCTGCCTTTTGCTTAATTGTTATATCCATTGCTATGAGGTTTTATTAACATATTTTAAGTTTAGCAAAAGGGGGCCTATGTCCACGTAAGTCCTAGGATTCGAAATTAGTTTCTAGGATACATTCTGCGATCGATTTGTTACGTACAGTGACTAAGCCCTTGTGTTATGGTAATTCCCTTCCCTGATGGGCTTTTGTCCATTCCCCAAAAATTTTGGGAAAAAAAGGTAGAATGGAAATCCTTATTGTGACCAGCACAGCACCTCTGTCCTGAGCTGAAATGGGATGGGGTAACAGCCCAGTTGAGCAACCAGTTGGAGCAATGAATGGATTTGGGCATTCAGAGGACCCAGGGGGGAGCACAACGACCCTGCCAGTACCTACTGAGTTGTGTTTTATTTGATTAATAACAGGTATCACCACTAAAACAGCCCTTGTAAACGTTCCATGTTCAAGGAGTTTTTAAATAGGTTCCTTAATCCAACTGCTACTGGTTTTGGAATATTGTATGTATTTTCAAACACATTTGTTTCTCTTTCCTTCTCATGAAAGCAATGCCATCTTTTAAACATGAGGCAATGAAAACAACAGTAGGTACTATGAAAACTTTATCATGTAAAGAGACAGCAGCGATTCCCACGGTCCCCCTGGGCATGGGTTGAGCTTCTGACCGAAGTTTCCTGGCCCGCTCAGGTGTTTGCCACCAGCCCCTGCTCCAGGATGTCCGGCTGTCCCCTCGGCCATCACATGGATGTGAGAGGAGCAGAGTGCATCAACCTCGAGGAGAGGTCAAGGCAATCCAGCCCGTGAATCACTTCCACTAACGAAGCCACTGAACGTGAGTCAGTCCTTGGCTTTGTGTGGCCAAGGCACAAAGTGTTTAATTCATTGGAGCATTTCTCTTGTGAGAAACAACTTCTGCAGTAAAGCCTAACGGTTTAGAGAAATCATTCCTAAATCCAGCAATACTTATCAACTTCTTGGAAATATAACTGTGTTATCTAGAGCAAGAGGAGAGGGGGAAATGTCTGTTTTAAGTAACTGGGAAGTCTCCCATGGACTGGTTTTATTTCTCAGCATAATCCTCTCTTTCACATGGATGACCTGGACAATTAGCACTGATATTTTTACTGGAACAGGTGGAAGAGCATCAACAACGGGCAGATCCCACTCCTTTCCTCTGTGGAGCTCCTACCTTCTCCATAGGCACATTTGATTTCCTCCAGCATGTGCTGTTCTCTCTTTAGCTGAGCCTTCTCCCTTTGGGTTGCTTTTTCTTCTTTCATAGGAACTGGAAATAAGATCTCAAAATGTGCTTCCTACTGATTTGGCTTGGAAATGACCTTAAGGCTCATCCAGTTTCAACTCCCTGCAAGGACACCTTCCACTACCCCAGGTTGCTCCAAGCCCTGTCCAACTGGCCTCGAACACTTCCAGGGATGGGGCAGCCACAGCTTCTCTGGTCAATCTGTGCCAGGGCCTCACCACCCTCACAGGGAAGGATTTCTACCCAATATCCCATCTGCACTCTGTCAGTTTAAAGCAGTTCCCCCTTGTCCTGTCACTCCAGGGCCTTGTCAAGAGCTTCATGGCTGGCTGAGCTCTCTTCCCACATGGCACAGTCGCTCCACAGGTGTGTCTGCCCTCAAAGCCTCCATCCCCCCACCCGGCTGACAAGGTGTGGGCAGGAAGGCCAAAGGCATTTACCTGGTCACTGCAGGTGACCACAGACCTGCCACTCAGGTGGTGTTAAGCAGCTGAGCTGTCACAGACCCAAAATAACTACTTGTGGCTTCTCCAGACCCCGCCACCCACCCATCTCTCCAGGTGCTCCCAGAACCACTGTCTGCAGAGGAACAACACGGCTTCAAGCCACCAAAGGAGGAGAAACAGGAATGCCAAATATTCCAGTTCTCTGAATATACAAGCCCAAATAAGGCCCAGATGCCAGGAGAGCAAACACAAGGCTGATCGACCAAGTTTGGGCAAATGTGATCCAGAGCTTCCCAGCGCTGCAGATTTTGCCTTGCAGGATAAAATTCCTAATTCTGTATTCACTTATTTCTGTTTGAAGAGAAATCTGTGGAACCTCCATCTGTCTCCGTCAGACCCAACTAACTGCTTGTTTGTGGGGACTGTGCATTTGAGACGTTCAGCCGTGAACCAAAACCAGAGTTTCACAAGGCAGGTAAGTCATGAAAATACTAAAAAATTCAAGAAACCCCCCAAAATGGAGTCACCGTTTCCTGACAGGCTGGCATTGCTTGGTTACAAAAAAGAAGATGGATACATTGATGTGGAGATCTGTATTACACTTCCTATGGAAAAGTGATGAAATTCCCCCAGATGATCTGCACTTGCCGTCGATAACCAGGTGTGATAACGCATCAAAAGTCAATTAAACACTGTTCTACAGCAAAAATTGCTACAGAAGAAGTGACATTTATTAATGTTCTGCTGTATTTACAGGTTGAACATAGTAAAATTCCAAAGTGAATTACCACTTGGCAGAAAGCACAGGAGTGCACATTAAATCTACATTTCGAACGCATCAGAGTCTCTGCTAACACAAATTATAAAAGCAGGAATTACAGGTATGTTAGGAATTGTCTCAAAAGTCCGGAGCCAAAGGGGAAAAAAGAAAAAAAAAGGCCTTTGTTTTGCAAGGTAATTTTTTATACAAAGTTGCAACGTGATCTTTCAGTTTTACACTACCAGACATGTTCCGTGAAAACCCCCGGATAGCCCAGAAAAAGTAGGTAGTGTGAAAGGAAAGTTTACTACAACACCGAGAACATAGACTGTTAAAAATTAATACTTGTACCACCTCTAAGTAATCCTCCTTCCTCTGACACCTCGGGACCTGGCCCCCTTTTCCTCCACGGGCAGCACAGGTGCTGCCGGATGGCAGGTGTGCAGCCACCGTGGGGCTGTCGCTTCAGCTTTTGAGATCATCCCTTTGCCACCGACTGGACAGGACAGGACAGGACACGGTGGGTGTGAGCTGGACAGGACCTGGGATGTGGGGGCTGTACAGGACAGGGTGTACGTGGGCTGGACAGGACAGGCTGTATGCAGGGTACGCGGACTGTACAGGACAGGACACTGCGTACACAGCTGTACAGGATGTGGTGCTGCATGGGCTGTACAGGACACGGTGTCACACAGCCTGTACAGGACACGGTGTACATGGGCTGTACAGGACATGGGTTTATGTGGGCTGTACAGGACACAACACACACGGCTGTACAGGCTGTGGCACCACGGGACTGTACAGGACACGGTGTTAAACGGGACACTCTGTACATGGGCTGTAAAGGACTCGGTGTGACACAGCCTGTACAGGACACGGTGTACATGGGCTGTACAGGACACAGTGTCACACAGCCTGCACAGGACGTGGTGTCACACAGCCTGCACAGGACACAGTGTACATGGGCTGCACAGCACACCCAGAGCCCAAGCAGCTCCCAAGCTGGAGGAGGAAATAAAGCAAGCCTGGCCCCTGCTGGCCCCGGGGACGGCTCATGCTACCAAATCACAACAAACTATCGCTGTAAGGCTTTATTAGCACGTCACAGACTCGACTGCAATAGCTGTTTCAAACATTAGCCACTAATGATTCAACAATTACAGAATTCTGCATTAATTATTAAAATTGTACACCTAAAAACAAATAGAAAGAAATGCTTCTCCTTTTTTTCTTTTTCCAACAGTACTTTTATTTATTTATTTTAAAGCAGGTGATTATTTTTTCTTCTGCTCCAGAGCCTTGATTCACTTCCTGCAGGTGTCCTGCTGCTTCTTGGGGGGGAATTCACTAATGCAGGAAGACATTTGCCAGAAAACATCTGTCGGAGAAGGATATTGAACACCGAAACTATAGTCAGAGTGTTATTTTGGAAAACAGAAGGATGTCGTTCACACAGAGCACAGGATGTCTAAAGACTTATGAAGTACCTCAGCACACAATGGCACGACTCCAGCAAAGTGCTCGGGAGTTTGTGCATATTTTACGGGATAATGCCAGGATCACATCCATTATTGCACACACAGGTGGAATAGCAAACACCAGCTTTCCACTGGATTCATTTCACCAGGCTGTATTTTATGGTTTGCAGTAGTTGCTCCTCTTCTAAGTTTCTAAAAATTATTCCTGCTCTAACATTAAAATGCTCATTCACCGTGCCCTTCTCATCGTGCCCTGCAGAGGAAATCTCATCTTAAGAACAGTAACACACTAAAAATCCAAGTCTTTCGCGGTTCCCTCACTCAGAATTTAGGATTAAAGATTTATTTTCAGGGGAATTGGGAAAGTTGTAATATTTGTTAATCATTCTGGACATTTATCTCAGTATATCGAAAGGAGAAAGTGCTTTTTGAAAGCTCTAAAATGACACATAAGAATTTAAACACTCTACACCTCCATCCTCACAAGCAAGGAATGAAGAAACATCTCAATAAATGGAAAATAAAGTTTTGGTAAAGAAGCAAAATTTTAAAAAAATTGTTCAGTGAGACAAACTATAGATGATAAAGCTGATTTGAAATGCTCACACTACATGACCATTGAACTGGGGCAAGTAAACGCTCTGGTGACTCAGCAGGAATCAGAAAGGATATTACAAATCCTGGAGGAGGTCATAAACCAGAACTTTGTTAAACAGAACTCAAACCTGTAAATAAATTGACTGAACTATTTTTACACACTATCACCAGTGGAAAATACTGCACAAAGGCTGTTTTGTGCTGCAGGTTCTCCTTACAGACTAGAAATGAAGCAGAATCTTAGGCAATTTGCAGTTCCTAATAAAAGGAAAGTGCATTTGGAAAATCAAGGCTCAGTTTTAAAACCTGAAGAATTTAATGACCCCCAATTTGAAGCGGGGGTTGGTTTGGTTTCTTCATACCACTGGCCCAGCTGCAATTGCTTCTGTCTTGGGCAAATTGGGAGTGTTATTATGATATTTCTAAAGGGAGCATCATGTTGCATTCCCCAGCTGGGAAGAAACCCATTCCAGGATTTCCTTCCCCTCAGGGAGGGACAGTTAATGCCAGGCCATTATCTGCTGTGAGCAGGAAATTATGCTACAAGGGTTCAGCTACTTAAGCCTCCTCCTTTAAAGCCCCATTAAGGCAGCAAGGCTGAGGTTCAGCATTAAAGCAAAAGACTTGCAGGCACTCAGCTTTCTGAAAGATGCTCAGGCAGGACAGTGTGTTCAGGTGGGAGGGGTTTTTGCAGAGCAAAGGTGTGCAAGAGTGTGATTTCTTCAGGAGCTTGGCAGCAATTTCAAACAGCAGGCAGAATTCAGACAAATTGCTCTTTCTGGGCCAAAAGCCAAAGGCACTGGCACATCCCTCTATCAACATTTTGTGACCTTTCCTCATGTTTAGGACACATCACGTGTTTCAAGCATGTGATTAATTCTGAAAGACACATTTGCCAAATACAGTGCAACACCAATGGGCAGAGATTGTTCTTGCAATAACTAGTCATGGAATCAAATGAATATACAATTCCTCACAGTAAAAACTCAGGGAGAAATGTCAAGTATTCCTCTGCTCCCCATCAAGTCATAGATACAAGAGCTGGGTACTGGATACCAGGAAACAACTGCTCCCTGCTGCCTTGTGTTCTAGAAATATTAAAGCAAAGTCTAGCCTAAAAGAGTTTCTAAACAGAGGTAAAAACAAAGCAGAACAAATTCAGGAAAACAGAAAGTTTACCTTTAGTAAATAAAGAGAACTCTGGTTCTGGGGAGAGTGGAAAAAGTGTCTGGCATCTTCCTAACCTTTGCATAATTAATAAATCCTCTGAGAAACAGCAGAAAACCTGGAGGGAAGAGACATTTGTCCAGTTAACACAGGTGCCGCTTCTTCAGTGAGAGAGGGAGCAGCTGAACTGCCCACTACAAGTACAGAGGGACTTCATCACCGGGATGCACAAGAGCTGATTACATACAACAATTATTTTTGGTAGCAATGACACCTAATCTTTTCATTTCAGGCAATTTCAAACCCAAACTTTCCCTGGGCAATCACAAATTTTTTGACTACAAATGAGATCCAGGCACTTCCAAAGCATAAAGGATATCCAAAGGATAAAGAAAATAAAACCAGGAAAGCAACAACCTACTCTTCCATTTAAGATGTAAAACAGATACAACATCAGTTACAAGCACTGTTCCTTTCTTTACTTCTTCTGGATGATAATCAGGATGCTGCCACCAAGAAATGGCAGCAGAGGGACAGTGTTTACTTGCCCTTAAAACCTGAAGGCATTTAGTAAGATGAGTATGAGGGTGACATTTCAGCTGTACATCTACACACACACATATTTAGCAGCCAGGAAAGCTGTGCTCACAAAATCCTGACTGGACTTACGGAATTTTTAAGCATCTTCACCTCCAAACACTCACCTAGTACAAGGAAGACCCACCAAAGCCAATACTGACCATCAAAGTAACCAGGAAAATAGGTGGAGAACTGAAAAACAAACAAACAAAAAAGATACGGGTTAGATCACATGGAAATTTCTGAATCCAAATCTATTCCCATTAATTTCAGCAATAACCAGATCAACACTGCACACAGGAGACCTCATGGAATGCTGCATTTCACCAGCTACACAGACTGCAGGGAATGAGTTACCTCCACAAACTGTTATTTATTGGTTTTCCATACACATCACACCGACTCTGACAAGGGGAACAGGACAGATTCAATACCCAGCCATAAACTCTGGCAATCAGTGGAGCACAAGGGCACTACTGGGCAAATATTCCTGTTTTATCTCGTGTCCTTGATCCTCATAAACCACAGTTGCAATTTCTGAAAGGGAAGACCGGGCTTGCAGCAGTGCCCCATGTTCATTACACTGTAAGGCTGGATGGTGTAGCCATTGAAAACAAAATCCCAGATCTGTGCAACCCTCTGACATGATTTTCTATTGGGAAAATTACTGCCTATTGAATGAAAGGCACCAGCACTATTACAGCACTGAGGCTCACTGCGCCAGTGGAAAATACAGTATAATTTCTTTCTTATTATTCTATTCAAGTTTAAGAACCTAACAAAATATAAACTTGTTATCAAAGTTTAAATCAAATCCAGAGTTAATGTCACCTCTTTCTGTAACATCTTTTAATCCACCAAACAGTTCTTAACACCACTGTTAAAAGATGTCCCCAAAAAGCTTCACTGACGACAGATAAAGTTAATAGATGCTATATTTACAAATTAGAATTCCCAGCCCCAAAAGATGAGGTATGAATTGACAGCCTAACACTAATGCCCTCTACTTCTACTTATGCACAGGTAACGAGATTCTTTGCTTGAAATTCAGCCTTTCAGCCTGGGATGTCTGCGTGCCATCATTTCATGGACTCCAAGTAACTTCCTGATGGAAATATTTTCTCCCAATCCCTCCAAAACCACTCATTTGAACAGAACAGCAGCTTCCTCCTGGTTCCCTCCTCTTGTGCCGCAGGGACGCTGCACCAGAGGGCACCAGAGGGCTTCTCCCACTGCGACTCTCCTCATCAGCCATCCCATCTTTTAGAGAATTTCGTTTATTTCCACAGGAAAGCCTAAGGAACATGAGACTGGAGAGGCACATCCCTGTGCCGATGGCAGGGCTGGCTTTACCTGGGTAAAGGTCTTACACAGATCAGATGATTGCTGCTGCTCAACACACCCCACATCCAGTACAGTGGCTCTGTCAGAGAAAGCCACATCTAGAACGAATCTCAGAATGGTTTGGGTTGGAAGGGACCTTAAAGCTCATCTCTTCCCACCCCCCTGCCACGGGCAGAGACACCTTCCACTTAGTCAGGTCACTCCAAGCCCTCTTCAGCCTGACCTTGAACACTTCCAGGGATGGAGCATCCACAACACACACCTGGGTGTGCAATCTGTATTTTCTTTACTGCTATAATAATTTCAGCATAGAAACAGGACAGAACTATGAAAAAGCTCTGTTCTTAGTGAATAAGTGGCTCAAAACTTATTTCACTTTTAAAAGCTAAATTTATCACTAACTTCAACATAAGGGAGATAAAAGTCTGGCTGAAAAGAGTATCAGTGTCTGGGCATGTTGTTTTGTACCACATAACTTACCCTGACAATAAGGATCCACTTAATAAGAGACAAACCAAACCCAGAAATGGCCCCATATCGTCCTGCAGCTGAAGTAGTCAGACAGAAAGACAAGAAAAATCCAATCCAGTTGAAGAGGAATGCCACTGAAAAAGCAGGAGAAAAGCAGCAGGTCAAGCCAATTTTATATTCCAAGAGAAAAAAAAAAATCATAAATCCCTTGCACACAGTTTTTTCCTGGTGCTACATAAACTAAGTGTGACCCAAACTATTTTGGGTCACTGCTTGAAAAGAAGTTCATTCCATCATGTACTTACTGAAGAAGGTGAGCATGAAAATGCCATCATTTCCTATCCTCAGCTGGTCAGTGTCATCAAAGTCATCCCGTGTCACAAAGTCATCATCCTGCAAATCAGAACGAAACACCACCATGGGGGCATTCAAGTCAGTCCCATCCATGCAGCAACCCCCGTTGTGCATGTGGCTTTTCAAAAAAGGGCTGGAATCCTAAATCTCAAAAGGCTACAAATACAAGCAGAAAAAAATTCCTGCTTCTCATCCTCAGATGATGCAGGGCATGAAATGTTATCTACATAACATGAAATTTATTTTTAACTTAGTCCAAGATGCAGCATGTCCTTCTCACTGTAAAGAATTCCTCTACTCATCAAAAAATTATCATATCAGCAAGGAATTTGGCTTCTATGAAGAACTATAATGAGCAGTGGACATGTAATGCTAGCAGGGGTGGAGGAAAGGGCTGAACAAGAGATAATGTTGAAAAAGCAAAAAGAAATAATTCTGACAGAATGGTTTTATCATCCTTGTATCAGCTACACTGACCTCCAGAAAAGTCAACCAAGTAAACAGCAGGAGTGTCAAGGGTAGATATGCCAGACAGCTGAAGAATTAATCCTAAATCGTTTTAAAAACAGAAAACCAAAACCCAGTGACAGAGCATAGGACTACAGTACAGTCCCTCTGTCAGCTTGCCAAGCTAATCTGGATAGCACATGCTGGTATTACTGAGATGTCTGACATCATCACAGCGCTCAGAGGAAAATTAAAAAGAAAAAAAAATAGCCACAGAACTCTCAGGAGTGTGTAATGACACCGCCTCAGAAAGCTTAAAAAACACACAAAAAAAACCCCAACACAAAAGACAAAAAAGTCATGGTATGTGATGGGCAGGAGTTAAAACAAGAAATTCTACCCTAGAAATGCTGGGACAGCCAGGTGCACTCACCCTCCCAGGAACCAAGGGAATGGTGGCCTCAGCCTTGGTTCTCTCTGCCTCGTCGTAACTGGGCAGGGTGGTGGCCACGTTGTACGATGGCGGCTTTGGGAATCCTGACTCATCCTTGTAGTCAAAATAAGCTGCACAAAAAACAGTTACAGAGAAAGCAACTTGTCAGTTCCTTAAAAACACCATGTTGGGAATGAGAAGTGTTCCAGGTGACTTCAAACAACTCAGTGCCTCTCCTGTGCCCTCCCCACCCTTCCAGCCTCTTGCCACCCTAAAACATTAGGTGAAAAGCATGGGAGCACCTTATGTGGTGTCAAGCAATTCACAGAACACTACCTGAACATGCTTGACTGTATTTATGTTTAAAACAACACCATTTGCTCTGTCTCTCCTGACTTGGATACTCAGAAATAGTTGTATTTCCAGATCCAAGTACTTATTAAGTGGTTATTAAAGTTATTAGTGGCATGTCAGGAGGATAATTCTTATGACCGAGTCCTTAGTGAAAAGTTCAGGAAGAGTGAATTCTCTAAAGGTTTTTAAGTAACAAGTCCTTTTGGGAAGGGACACAGTATCATCCAAATGCCAAATAATGAGAGGAGAACCACAAATCCTCACAGCACTTTGATTTTTAACTGTCTTCAATTTACAGAGAACACTGTGAACTGTAACTTGAACACCACTTGATGGGATGACATCAGATGAACACAGCCAAAATGCATCTCCTAAACCACAAGTACCAACAAGGCTCTCTGGATCAATTCTGATCCCTGCAGCTTGGGAAGTGCCAGCCATCGACGAGGAGAGCAGTGAACAAGAGCAGAGCAAGCCCAGCCCTTTCCCTGCAGGGCAGTTACCTGTGCTCTCCGCAGAAATGCTGCTGTAGGGCGGAGGGGCATCGCTCACCACCGGTGCAGTCTCACCCGGCTCCTCTTCATTCTGCAGCTGAACAGACCCAACACAGGAGGTTAAGGGGGGCTCTCGAGTGCTGTCACATCACCCCTGCAGCTTTAATTGCACACAACAGAGTCCTCTGGAAGGAGACTGTTCTGCAGCACCACGGGACACTGAGCAGCTGCTCCGCCTCCCTTCGAAGCACTCCCACTTGGAATGGTCAATATGCCATCTCAGTTTTAATGTGTTTTTAAATCCTCTCCTCACACACCTGGACTCCAACAAAGCACAGCACACAGCTTTCCAGTACCTTTCCATTTCCCTGGCACTTCCTCAGCTCCCACTGCTTAGGAGCAGCAGTTGCATGTGTTTCAGTCAAAGAAATACTGTGAGATACCCAACAAAAGACTCCATTGCTGCCTGTGACTTTGCTAAGGAAGTGTTTTTCCATGGATACATTACATAATGATGCACGTAAGTATGAATCTTGCCATTTCCCTTCAACCTTTCACACTGCATGACTGAAAAGGAGATGGTTTATTTTGTGCACTGTGCTTCCCACAGGCTCTATATAAATAACCACAGAGCTATCACGGGTACAGTGTCACTCGCACGAGGCAGGTGTGCCAGGCCGGCTTTGATCAAGGAAGCAGCAGTAGCAGGCCAACAATTCAAAGCAGAACACACTAGAAATGAGGCTACAGATGCCATCTCATTTTTAACTTCTTTCCATTTCCCACCATCTCAGCAGCAAAGTTGCTGAGGTTGTCTGCAGAATGACAACTCACCTCAAAAAAGCACCTTGGGACTGAACTGCTGCCCTGAGCAGGAGGTATTGCCCTTGTTTGCAATCAGCACTGAACAACATCTCCTTGAGCTTTCCCTCCTGACACCCAGCCAATGCTCCTGAAGCCATCCATGACATTCTGCCTTCTTTCCTTTGGACAAACATGTTGCTATTCAAGTCCTTCCAGACCTAACGCAGGGGTTGAGGGAGTGGGGTTGTGTTCTTATTTCACTTGTACGTCTAATCAGGGGAAAAAAACCCAAGCAACTCCCACTTCTAAAGGCAGACTTTGGATACACAACTGTGTTTTGGGTTTCTATTCCTTTTGCCACCTAAGATCAAAGATTACAGAATCCCAGGATTGTTTGGGTGGGAAGGGACCATAAAGCTCATCTCACTCCACCCCCCTGCCATGGGCAGGGACACCTTCCACTATCCCAGGTTGCTCCAAGCCCTGTCCAACCTGGCCTTGGACACTTCCAGGGATGGGGCAGCCACAGCTTCTCTGGGCGACCTGTGCCAGTGAAAGTCTATAATCTATAGCCTGTTCCAGATCAGACCATATCTATGTCCTCTGTGAAAATCCTGACTGGGCTTAGCAGGTGACAACACGAGTGATTCTCTTGGCAGGTCCAAGGGGTTGCCCGAGAGGGGAAAAGGGGAGGAAATAATACTGGGAAGTGCTGGGAAAAAAAAATCAGGAGCATTGTCCAGCTGTATCAAATCAACAGAGCATCACAGCCCTGAACTCTGATTCACCATCAGCTGGAGCTCACCCTGCTCGTCTGACAGCAAGCCACCAGCCTCTCCCCATTCACGATTTCCAAACAGAAGAGGTAGGAAAAAATAAGAGTACTGATCAGCCCCAAGCTTTCTGGGTAAGAACTCCTCACATGACACAAAGCTGAGCCACTTCCTTGAAGAAGGAGAAATTCAGTGATCCGGATGAAAATTTAATCCGTGTTATGCCAGGAGCAGCTGTGGCTCTGGGAGACATCCGAAACACTGGTCCCTGGCCAGATGTGAACCACAGCAAATAATCCCTCCCTGTGCCCTGGCAGTGAGGCCACGGGGCGTGAAGGTGGCAGGACCTGCCTCACCTGCAGCTTTAATGAGCCCCAGGGCACAAAGCAATGGCAGCAACTCCCACCACAGCAATGCATCTTCATCTTCTCAAACCAGCTCACTCAGCATGAGCCCTTTCCAGGAAACAAAAATGCCTTATTTTATAAACCCCATGGCACTCAGCCATTAGAAGAAAATGCAAGCTAACTTGTGAAGTAATTGCCTATCAAAATATGCTTTAAAAATTAAAAAAAAAGAGACAGCACTACTGCAGAAATCCAAAACCAGCCTGCACAGAGCACGAAGGGCAACTAAAGGGACAGAGCAACACACAGCCAAACTACTTGGTTCAGTCTCTGCCCAGAGAAGCTTTGAGTGCCAAATCCCTGGAAGTGTTCAAGGTTGGGTTAGATGGGGCATAGAGCAACCTGGGATAGTGGAAGGAACAGGATGAGCTTTAAGGTCATAGCTTTAAGGTTCCTTCCAACTCAAACCATTCTGTGACCCTCTCAGCTTTGTAGTCTATGAATTCTCAGAAAATGCTCCACTATGCTTATTGTCAGTCTATCCATGAAAATCCCACACATCTACCCTTTTTAACTTCTGCCTAGGCAGGACCCAGTCTGTTTACAGAGGAGGAAAGGCTCTGGCACACCTGGGACACTCTGGATACCACATGCCCTGTGTTAGCTGCTCTCCAGGTTGAGGGGGTGGCAGAAATTAAACCCCTCATGTCTGTAAGAAAGAAGACATGTACAACCTTGAGAGCGCAATCACCAAGGAGGGGGAAGGAAAGCATTACATGTGACAACACTGGAAGAGATGAAACAAAAGAGGACGCAGATAATTGAGTGGAATATTAACTCCTACTACTGGTTCTTCTTTCAATAGTAAAAAGAAATATATGTTCTTCCACCAATGTCATGTGGGAGAAAGCAGCTGAATTCACTGCTGGCTTCAAACATCACTATTCAGGTAATGACACAAAAAATGCAGCTACTTTCTAAAGCAGAGCTCGAGGCTGTAGGAGGTTACAGTTATAAAAACCAGATTTTTCTTCTAATGGACAAGGTACACAAATGCCTTCCAGCCGTTTTAATGATTCCAGGCATCTAAAATTCAACTAAGTGCCTCTTAGCAGAGCAGGGAGGGTTCATGTGACAGGAAGAATGACTCATGAGGCCTCGCAGGGCCGGCAGTGCTGCGCTGCCCTGGCCTCCTGTGTCCCATCTGACCTGCACAGCTCCAGGTACGCTCTCAGCTCCCAGGAATTCTCCTCTGGGCCACCCCGGAGGCTTCAGAACCTGGAAAACCTGGTTAAAGCAGTGTTTGACTTCAGTCTGTTTGGCTGAGGCTGTGGGGTAATTCTTTCCTTGATTCACTGATGGATTTTAGCTTTTAAAGCAAGATTCTGGTATTTGTGGCAATAAGGCAGTCTTTACAGCCATGCACACAGTTATTAAAAAACAGTTTGGCTGTGACAGCTAAAACAACAGAAAGCTGCCTGACAGAACACCCAGGGATATTTATTTTCCAAAAACCAGAATCAGAAGCCTGGCACTGAGCAGGACATCACCTCTGGCTGCCACTTCCCCCTGACCGAGACACATCCTGAGTAAATACACACAGCACAGCAGCATGAAAGTTCAAACTGTTTGGAAATATTTCCATGTAGACTTTGAAGAAAGCATTTCCAATAAATATACTCGTTAATTCTTCCAAATTTCCTAAACTCAGCATAAGGGCTGCTGACACGGTTTTGGATCTTTAAATTCCCCTTCCCCAAGTCCTGCATGTAAATATTTTTACTTTAAATCAGCATTACTACAAGCTTGGCCTTAGCAATATATCACAGTAATGTGCTAAGTCAGCCATTTATCATCAATGTTTACTGTGTTCCAGTTCTTATTTTACGTTCTGGCAGACTGGACAGAACTGCACAGAAATGCCACAGAGGAATTCTAGAGTGAAGATAACCCTCACCATGTCTCGGTTTTGTTGTTACTATGGTTTCTCCTGAGATTATTAAAAAGGCAGATATTTTGGCTAATGATAGAAAGAAAATCAATTTTTTTTTTTAAAAGGTGACAGGAATGATTTTTTCCAGAACTATGAAATCATAAGCTTTGCAAGCCAAACATTAAAATAAATAAATACCTAGAAATATGTATTGCTACTAAACTTGAGAGTATTCCAGCAAGGCACCAGCCTGCCCACAAAAAGGATTACACTCATTCCCATCTCAACAACCCTGACTCTTCTCCTTCCATATCCCTGGCCTTTTGGAAGCAAATTAAAGTTGCTGTCAACTCTGAAGAGAACTATTTTATTGACTTATGCTTCACTTTAAATGCATCCCACTTTGAAATCCTGACTTTTGCCCGATGCTGTTGCAGATTCCTATAACTTAATATCAGCTTATTAATCAGCAGGAATAATGATAAGCTACTAGACAAGCCAACCCACACCCATCAGCCCTCTCCTTGATGAGCAAATAACTGTTTTCTCCCCCAGGCACTTCCAGCTGATTTCCTGGAGCATTGCCAGCCCTGAGGAGCGTGTCTGCCCCAGCTCCCTGCACCCAGCACGAAGTGTGCTGAGCACTTCTTAGGTGACACATTTGGCAGCTGTGCTAAGCCATCCCTCCCCTGACTTCTCCCTGCCCCCGGGAGATGCCAACGCTCCTGCCCGGGCCATGCTGGGAAACCGTTTCTCCCCACGGCCCTGAGCAGAGCCTGGATCCGGGAGTGGCCTCCAAGGCCTGTGCCAGCCTGAGATTTTCTTCATGGAAAGGGTTGTCAGACATTGGAAGGGGCTGCCCAGGGAGCTGGTGGAGTCACTGTCCCTGGAGGGGTTCAAGGAATGCCTGGACGTGGCACTCAGTGCTCTGGTCTAGTTGACAAGGTGGGGATCGGTCACAGGATGGACTCGATTTTGGAAGAGTTTTCCAACCTCGATGGTTCTGTGATTCTGAAATACTCCTCCATTTTAATAAAGGACTGAAAACTGTGCCTCCACTCCCTCTCCCACCTTTCACCTCTTTTTCCCCAGCTGGACCAGCTCCCTGCCACACAGCAAGAACACATGGAGCAGAAACCAGCAGGAGCATCCCCCTGAGGGGACATTTGCAATGACCCCGGGAGCCACCAAGGTAAAAACACAAACCAAAACGTATTTTACGTCCGTCAAAATACAATCTGTGCTCACAAGGATGCTCTTCTTCTCTGACTCACTGCAGCCAAGGGCCTCACAACAAAGAAATACTCCTCAGTCCTGGGAAACACACTAATGTAATTCCCTCTTTTCTGTTCAAACAGGGAATTAGACTGGTCTGGACAGACTGTAAACAAGCACTTGGGCCAGCACAAACCTGCACCCACAGACTGGTCTTAAGCTTGAGTGTTCAAGATCTTAATATGGAAGAAGTAGGTTTTAATCCTAGATAGCTGTAATTAAATTTCTCCCACTTAACAAAGCATAAGGCCTTCTCATAAAAGTCAGGATCAGATTAATGTTTTTCAGGACATTAAGGCATCACAGAAAGAATTCTGAATCTTTTAAACATTTTAAAATATCACATTTTTAAAAACTGTCATATGAAGAAAGTTAAAAACATTTGATTGTGCCATCATATACCAAATTTGAATATTTCACCAGAGGAAGGAACAGAATGCTTGGATTCACCTTAAACCTGAATTTTTCTCACTAGTCCCAAGGACAAAGGATGACAGTTCACACACACGGAAGTTTTTATACTTGCTTTCTAAAAGGCTGCTTTTAGGACATGATGCCAAGCTCACCTAAAGAGGCACTACGTCCTCTGGGAGCCACTTAACAACCCAAAGCCCTCAGAGATTGTTCCTACAGCTGCTTCCCAAGGAGGTTACTGAGCCCCACTGAATTTCAGTGAAGAGAGAAAAGGCACCAAAGGAGCCCAGCTCAGAGTCCAACACAATCCTGACTCCCGAGATAATATTTTATTTAAAAGTGTGCATGCAAAGCTATTTTCTCCTGTTACACAAGCTGTGTGATGACACTGGACTGCTACTGTTTCCCTGCCTTTCCCACGTCCTTTGAGTTTTACAGATGGAATGTATTTTAGTTCTATAATTACTTCTTCACATAGAATCACTAAAACCTTGTGAACTCACCTGACAGGTAGTGTTGCCTACAGAGGTGGGTATTTCAGAAGAAAACAACCAGACTTTAGTCACAGCCTGGGCTGGACATGGGGCAGCTTCAACACAACCCAAGAGCAGCAGCTGCACAAGTGATTTTATGCTACAATTTTTTTTTTAATCTTAACTTTTTTTTTTATGTCAATGGACATCTCCTTTTCTACTTTAAATAAATAAATAAGAGTGTAAACAACCTATCCTGGAAGTTTTCTTACCATTGTTATTTTAGCTAGAACATATGCACACTAAAAGTACCTCACTGAGAAAACAGTCACTGACATCTCTAATTCGAACTGCTGACATTAAAAGATTTGGTACATTCTCATTTTTTAGCTTTGATATGTGTGCCCATTTCAGTTAAGAACTTAAATACAAGCTTAAGGTACCCACGAGGCAGCAACTGACACCTGCCTCCCTGTTCCACTCCAGCCTTCCCAGATATTAAGGAAGCATCATGGTCCTTTGTGGATTTAAATTCTATTCCCATTCTATCTTCAGGAATTCTACCTTCTACAGTTTCACTGAAAGAAAAACAAACAAATGGGAAAAATCTTTCTTCCCTATTTTTCCCATAGCCACCTCCCTTTATGGAATGATTCATGATCCATGTAAGCCTTCAACAAGTGGAACAGGAAGAAATGGCACTTAAAAAGGAATATGTCTTCATTATTTAACACTCCCACCATTTCCTAGGTGGGTTTACATTACTCATACACCTCACATTTATTTTCGAATGCTTCAAGTGAAAAGCAGACCTGGCTAACACAGAGTGTAAATAAACCTGTTAAAGCCAGGCTATTTTTTCCAGAATGGAGGATAATTTCTATTCCAAGGATGAAATACAGTTCTGCCACTGAACTCACAATCCAGGCACTATGCTCAAAAGGCTTTAAACCCCTAATCCCAACAACATCCCTGTGTAACTTTCCCAAAGGCAGGTCAAAATGACAACAGCCTCCCAGTGCCCCTTTTTGGGACACGGTGTACCTTTTTGGGACACAGCACTGCCTGGAACAACACTTCCAGGGCAGTCTGCAGCCCTCCTTCCTCCCAAACCTCTCCCACTCGGGCCTCCACAAGCACAGCCCTGGCATCCAGCCTGCAGAGGAGGATCCAAATCCCGCTGTCTGCCCCGGTCACCCTGCCCCAGCCTGGTTCCTCATGGAAGGGTCCAGGGAAGCTGAAATCCCTTCTCCAGAGTTTTAGCTTTATTCTGCACAGAGCTGCACTTCCTCAGTTCGTGAGCTCAGACTCGCATCGTCCAAAGCCACCACTGCAGGCTATTTTTTATCAGATTATCTCATGCCTGAACAAAGCCCAGGGTTAGAAAGTTGGCTTTGGAAAATAAATCAGTGAACAGCCCTTGAGCACTGCCCGCACTGGGGAACGGACACAGGCTGTAAGTTTGCAGGGAAGGGGCTGCTGAGGGGCACAGCCCACACTTCCACCTTCCCAGCTTCCATCCACAGGGCTGAGGAAGGGGTGGGTGAGGAAACACACAGGTTTCAAACTCGTTTATCTATTTCTGTTGTTCTCAGATCATCCTCATTAACTATCACTTTTTGTTCCTGAAAATACAGGCACTTGAGGAATCTTACATATTTGTACATGTTCAATAGTGCCCACTCCTCACCAGTGCTGCTCCTACACACATGTGGATACACCAGTAACCCTTCCTGGAGCAAGGATACAAATTCCCAGCATGTTTGGGCATTTACCTGTACAGGAACCACCTATGAGTGTAACCAACCCCACTAATCCATTACACCCATCAGCCGAAAAGAAAAAAGTTCTAAAATTCCTCCACTGCCTCATAATCCAATAATTTAAAGGATTAAATGAGTTTGTTCTGAATTTTTCCAGGCTACCCCCACTTACTTGGTACTCTAGCCCTTATCACTTCACTATCAGTCTGTCAACATTCATTATTGTACATTCACAAACACAGTAAGTTTCAAAACATGGAAGAAAAACAGACACATTCAATGCTAGAGAGACACTCCCACACTCTCATCTCCTCTTCATCTAAATCCCAACTCTGCATCTTTACAGCTTGCAGGGTTTCTCAGAGCAACACAAACATTAGGAGCCAGTTCAGCAATAGGACACTTCACAATAAGAATACCTGGTCCTGGCAGAGGGCGAGGAAAGCAAAGCAATTTCTAAAGAGCTACACAAAAGTGAATACATTTACATGTGAAAATCTGACTCTGCGCTCCAGTTACACCAGTCGCTTCACAGGCCTCCATTATCTGCTTGTCTTTAGCAGTGCAAATCCTCTGGCACAGCCTGGCTCCCTAATCTCCGCAGCACCATGCACGGCTACGCTCCACAGATGAGTCTGCTGTGTGTCTGTGAGGTGTGAGCAGGAGCTGGGCAAACAACAGCTTTACTCAGCCCTCTTTAAGGAAACCAGGAGTGCATTATCAGCCAGGAACAGGGTGACCAAAGACCAAGGCAACAGGGTCCTTCAGCAATTCTGTCACCTATCCCCATGAGCTCCAGGTGATGGGACACACTGCTAGATCCCTTGGGAAAAGGTTTTTGTGAAGACACTTTTCAGGGTCGACACCAACGGAAGGACTGCACCGAGAAGGGCGATTAGTGCAGAGACCTGGTTATTTATCCCTACCAGTTCCAAGAACAACACAAAGAGATTTGCCATTTTAAGTGAACACATCTGTTTAGCACAGAACAACCAAAAAGAAAAAAGAAAACACCTGAGTTTTACTTAATTTTCACATTGCCAGCACGTAATAACACAGAGACCTCCAGCTGTCAGATGAGACAAGTACTCCATCCCATGGGAGGGTGTATTTCGAACTCTTGACGAGAGCGAGCCTACCCACGCTGGAAAGGCTACCGAGGAAAAGTCACAACACAGCGATTTCCTGTGAGAACCCCGGTTCAGCAGGAGCGAGATGGGTGCTGCTCCGAGGGGTTTCTCCCTCACTTGTAGTAAGGATTTCTCCATGTCAGAAAGGCGCCGGCCAGAACTGGGTCACACCGAGGGGCCCAGCTGAGCCCCGACCCTTCCCGAGGGGCGGGCAGTGCTGACAAACGGGAGGCAGGGGAGGGAAGGACTACCCCGAATTCCCGAGGGAGCTCTGCAAGGCCAGCCCCCGGCCTGGGGGGGTTTCAGAGGAGCCTACACATGAAAGGTCGAATAAAACTAACGGTGACCTCAGGCCGATGCGGAACGAGCCCGTTCCCCGGGGGATTCGCTGACCCGCGGGGGGGAACGACAGGCGAGGACAGCGCCCTGCGCCAAGGTCGGGACCCGCCCCGGGACAGGGCAAACACCCGGCCCGGCGCACACACCGCCCCGGGACAGGGACAGCCGGCCCCGGGCACACCTGGCCCCGGGCACACCCGGCCCCGAGCCTGCGGGAAGCGGCTCCGCGGCCGAGCCCGGCCCGGCCCCACGGGGACCCGCGGCCTCCGCCCCGGGCGCCGCCGCCAGCCCAGGCCGCGGGCCCAGCCCCGCTCCCGGCCCCGCCGCCCCGGGAGCCGCCCGGCCCCGGCCCGGCCCGGCCCCGCCGCCCCTCACCTGCTGGTAGCGGCCGGTGCTGGGCTCGGCGGCCGCGGCCGCCATGGCGCTCCGGGCTCGGTGCGGGCGCTGCGCAGGCGGAGGCGGCGGCGGCCCGGTCGGTGCTCGCTGCGGGCTCCGCTCGCTCCCGCCCTCCCCGTCACGCTCGGCCGCGCCGCCTCCCGCCCCGCCCGCCGGAGCCGCCCGGGGCCGCGGGAGAACGGAGTTACAGGATCACGGAATCTTTGAGGCTGGGAAAGACCTCTGAGATCACAGAGTCCAACCTGTGACCCATCCCCACCTTGTCAACCAGACCAGAGCGCTGAGTGCCACGTCCGGTCGTTCCTTGGACACCTCCAGGGATGGGGACTCCACCACCTCCCTGGGCAGCCCCTTCAATGCCTGACAACCCTTTCCAAGACGAAACTCCTCCTGATGTCCAACCCGAACCTCCTCCGGCACAACTTGTGGCCATTTCCTCTTGTCCTGTCCCTTGTTCTCTGGGAGCAGAGCCCGACCCCCACTTGGCTCCCCCCTCCCGTCAGGGAGTTGCAGGGAGCAAGAAGGTCCCTCCTTGAGCCTCCTTTTCTCCAGGCTGAGCCCCCCAGCTCCCTCAGATGCTCCTCACATGACTGACTCTCCAGCCCCTTCCCCAGCTCTGTTGCCCTTCCCTGGACACACTCCAGCTTCTTAATGCCTTTTTTCTGTGAGGGGCCCAGAACTAGACATGGAGTCAGAAAATCGATGTCAACCCGTGGTGACAAACACCGCCACCTCGATAGCAACACACCAGGACCAGCGCTCAGAAACCAGCACCATAGGAGCCATCCTGACCAAGCCCTGGTCCTACATCCCCCCCCACCTATCCCTGTCCCACCGCCACTTCGCGGTGCCGACGTGTGCCCGTGCAGGCAGGGAAGAGGCAGCGACTGCTGCACCACAGCTGAGCCAAACACAAGATGTTGGCCAACTCCTCCGAAAGCGCCGTCAGCTCTTCCATATCCACATGAAGCAGATGGTGTTGCAGCTTAGAAATTTCTTTCCAAAAGGAGCACGTGCAGGAAACCACGCAGCGAGACAAGTTGGTTTATTCAGGGAGTTTTTGCGTTGTTACATTGGCTAGGAGACTTTCCAACTTGTGTAACCTTTATTTTCTACATGCACAGTTCAGCTGTAGTCAGGCTTGCACAAAATTACCCACATCAATCCCTAAGGTTGATGAGATTTAAATATATCAGCTTTAGGATGAGGAAGGCTGAATCAGCCCCTCTGGGATTCCAAGCTGCAAATTCAGAGTTGCAAGCGTTTAAGCCCAAGGACATGGGTTTGAACTGCAACTCAGTCATAAATACATGCCTCGATGCTCATTATTCAGTGCCATAATCAGGTTGGATTCTTTTTTCCCTATATTTTGCCTTTGAGGCGTAGGTAGTTCATCGATGTCTTAGTGAGATGAATGAACATCCCAGTTCTCATGCTGAAGGAGAGGCAGGAACCGTGAGGGATTTTAGCCAGGAATAACCTCAAAGAGTGACTCCTGAGAAATTGCTGGAGAAGGCAAGTTTCCTGCAACACAGGTGCCTTTGAAGGAGCTGGAACAGGAGCTGCAGGCACTGATAGACTCTGGTTTCACCTTTCCACCAGATTCACAATTTGCACTGAGAAATTTTGCTGCAGTAAGGAACTGTCCTGATGACATGCATGGATTTACTTGCCGCTGAGGTGGGATTACATCCCTAAGTAAGGCTGTAGCCACAGTGGTAATTAGCTGCACAGTGATTGACTTGGACAACACATAGATTAAAATAAGATGCAACCTGTATACATCCCCAGAGAAGATGCTGGAATGTATCCTGGAGAACTGGTGAAAACGTTTGTGTCAAAGCCGTTTTGGGGCCAGTGGAGGCAAATCACTGCCTAATTAGTCCATCCAGTCTCAGCATGACTGATTCCGCAGGGGTAATGGCAATTTCTTTCAGCTGTTTTATTTTATTTTCTTAGGTGGGGAAGCTCTGTAGAAAGATGATGCTGTGGTTACAGCACATGACTGGTTCTGCTTTCATTTCCCTCCTGGTTTTAAGCAAATCGCTTCATGCCTCTGTGTTTTTTTGACTTTTCCTCCAGTGCAAAATGTCTTTTCTCCCAAGAGACACTTGGAGCTCAAAGTCATTTCTTTTAGTGACTTCCGCACGGGATGTGCTGTGAAAGCATTTGAAAGCAATTGAAAATATGACAGAATTGTAATGGAGTGAGTCCTCTGAAATCCTAGCACTGTACATGTGTTCCTTTAATTATTGTGTAGGACTGAGCAATAAAGGAAAACTTTTAATCTCCACTTTGTAATAAATATTGAACATTAAAGGCGAAATAATAAAAGTCAAAGGCAGGGTGTGTTAAAGCTAGATTAGTAAGACATAAGCAGGACTTTAAAACTAGATCTTTCTTTTAATCTTTTAGTGCTAAATTACCCAATTAAGAAAAAAGTGAAGACAAAATATTCACATGACACAAACTTTTTGTCATCACTATAAAGTATTCCTGTGTCCCTGAAGGCAGAAGCCCTTCATGTGCAAGAAATGGAATCACAGGCATTGAATATACATAAATGCCATGTCTTGTTTTCCCATTGTGGAATAATATCCTGAATTAGAGTTGTATAATTAGGCTGCAGAGATTTATTAAGGATTAATAAATGCTGTATAATAGATGTTCCTCCCCAGAACATCACAGAAGACTTATGGAACAGTGAAAAGATAAAAGCAGGACAGGGAACAGGAGGTGGGTTTAGATGAGATATACGGAATAAATTCTTCCCTGTGAGGGTGGTGAGGCCCTGGCACAGGTTGCCCAGAGAAGCTGTGGCTGCTCCATCCTTGGAAGTGTTCAAGGCAAGGTTGGATGGGGCTTGGAACAACCTGGTCTAGTGGAAGGTGCTCCTCCCCAGGGCACGGCAGTTGGAATGGGATTATCTTTAAGGTCCCTTCTAGCTCAAAACATTTTGGGATTCTATTACAGCCCCTGCCCAAGGAAGCTGCCCCACAGCTCGACCAGCCTGGGCAGTGGCAGGTTCCTGGCACGGCAGACACAGCTGTGGGGTCCATACACAGCTTTAGATACTCAGAGAGCTGCAATTTTCGGTGAGTGCTTGTTGTAACAACAAAAGCCACTCGGTCACATCGGGTCTGCTGGAACGAGGAGAGCCCCAGTGAGCACAGCCACACGTCCTGCAGCCCAGGCAGAGTCAGGCGTAAGCAGAGCCTGGTTTACTGTTGCGGAAAATTATGCCCCAATAAGCCCCGAGTATTGTAAGGAGGAGGAATGAAAACAACAGCAGCACTGAGGTGGAAGACTTTCCCAACGGGACTTTTCTCCTGAAATCCAGCAGCAGAACCGAGGGGCAGTTACGGAGTGATCCAGCTGAGTTGTGCCAACATGACGGATGGTGCACAGGGCAAGGCAGGGCTGAGTTCCAAATTGCCTCCACCTGGCACAGCCAGCTCCGTCCAGCCTGGTTTTGGGGGCCCCAACTCACTGATTTCACCAGTGTCCTTTGTCGCTCCATTATTTCTTCAGCCTACTGGAGAAATCACAATTAACCACTGGTTAATTTAATCTTGCTGTCCAGATTAACTCCCTTGCTGCTTAGGCTGGCAGTTTTTAACCTGGTGAGGAGCAAAGCCCTGTCAGCTTTCCCATGGGAGCCTTGTCAGCAAAATGGGAAGGCACTGGCATGTATGTGTGCTCTCTGGAGTTGCCTGCTCATGCATTGCCCTACAAATTGGCTCCCTGCTCATGCATTGCCCTACAAAAACCTCCTACCTGGGATTTGAGGTATTGCTGTGAGCAGGGCTTGCAGAAAAGAGATCTGTCCCCTCCAGATCTATCCAATTTGGGATGTTGTTTCTCCTTTTCTTATAAATTGGGTTGAGAAGGTAAGTGGAACATGCTGAAGCAGGAAGAGATGACTGACTGTGGATATTAAAAAGACTCTTTAATTACAGGATTTGAAGAGTGAGTCCTTCATGGAGATATTTTTTAATCATTTCTTTTTCCGGGCAAAAAATCCCAGTGCTTCCAAGGAGTTCCCAGTAGCAAAAGTCCTGGAATGGGATTATCTTTAAGCATTATCTGAGCATTGTTGACTCTGATCCCTTCAAGATGGGGCGAAAGAAAATGCTGTGCTTGTTAGAACTTTCCTGTTCAACTTCTCCTGCAGAGAAGTGTTTGTTTCCTTCCATCTGCTGCTTTCGCAAGGAAGGAAAATCAGCCTGTTCAGACACCAGGAAGTTCTTCAGCATCAGAACAGCAAGCTGGAAACGCAGGAACAATAATGGGCCGAAATTATTATACCTAAAAATACTCTGCATGCGAGTCACAAGCATGACCCAGCCCCAGAGCAACTCAGATAACGCAGACAGCAGGGAGTGGATCCGTGGGATGTGGGGTGGCACAGGGGCACGTGCCTGGCTCTTCTGCACCGTTGCAGCTTTTTCTCTCACCAAAGCACGTTTTGCTTTTACTGGGAGCTGCCGGCTGCCTCCCGTGTCTTTGTGCTCTGTATCTGCCCAAGCCGCTCGCTCGGGAGATGAAAGCAAGAACCAGACCCTCTGCAGGCAGAGCCCCACAGCTCTTGGATCTAAACCGAGCCCATCCCCACACCGGGATTGTTTAAGGCCAGTCCTCAAAGGCAGCAGCTCTCCACACCTCCGAGGGGGCGCAGGGCGGGTGAGGTGGGAGGCAAAGGGTAGGGTGGCACTGCCCACAGGCTGCTCCGATGGCAGACAAACCACACAACCTGCAAGTCACCCCAGGGGGGACACGGTTCTTGCCCTACAGCTACCGCAGTGGGAAGTCTACGGTGTCTCCTGCAATCAATTCCTACGCGGGCTGGGCCTTCAGTATTTGCTTTTCCTAAGTCTCCGAGCCCTCGCCGCGTTTCCATGGTAACGCGGAGGGATCCGATGTGGGTTATTTGCAGACTCTAGGTTCTGATAGAGAGAGCATCTCCCTCTGCTGAGCCCTGCAGCAGTTTTGGCTTTGTACACCAGAAGCTGCTGTTGTGCTGCAACAGCGATGATGTGGAAACTCCCACGTGTGTGCAGGTCAGGAGTGCACTCACCTTCGGTCCAGCAGCACCTGGAGAATGGAGTGAAGCAGCCCCAGGATGGGAATGGTTCAGATCTCAGCCAGGTCCATCCCAGCAGAGGCACAGACCTGCTTAGCCCAGCACCTTGATCCTGTGCCTGTGAACCCAGGGATGATGTGATTCCCACCAGTGCCCACAGGACCAATGGGTCTGTCACACTGATATGATCTCAATGGGACAAGTGGAAGAGCTGTATCACACAAAACCAAAGCGCAGGCTGCCCTGCACTGCAGGACAGCCGGGAATGCTGCTGCTGTGAGCTCCTCACCCAGCACCAGCCACCAAGAGACCTGCCTGCCTGCTGGCTGACCACTGCTCATGGAAGCACATGGGGCTTGGAACTGATTTAGTCTCTGTGGCTTAAAACCCTTCCCGTGTCTGACCACAGCCATCTGGCTACAGCCTGCCACACCCATCGTTCCCTATCCAAATGCTAACCGAGGTCTTTCCACGATGAGACAATATCAGGAGCACTGGTTCTAGCCAGGTCATTTAAATTATTAAAATGAGAAGGAACTGCTCGGGCTGGATCCCAGCAAAGCAATTTGTCTCTTATTCTTTCTTCTAACTTTGAAGTAAGGGCTTTGCATCCCAACAACGATCCAAACCTGGGGAAGGAGAGGTCGGGCACGTTCCCATCAGAGCTCGAAGGCAGCCAGAGCAACAGCAGGAGGGTGTTTTGGGAATACCACTGTGCCAGGAGAAGTGCGGGCACCTGCGGATCATGGTCTCTCCATCCCGCAGAACGACCCCAACACGCCCTGAAGCGGGTCCCTGTGGAATCGTTCAAGCGTGAGAGCGGCTTGTTACGATGTGACGAGGCTGGGGGCTTTGATTTAGGGACGAAAGGCTGGAGGACGGAGTCAGGTGGATCCCTGCTGTGACGGTGGCACCGCAGCAGAATCACACTGAAATATTTGCTGAAATATTTTTAATAATGTTTTAATAATGTATTCGGTTCCCAAAGCTTTGTCTGGACAACAGGCGCTCTCGCGGCGCTGGTGACTGCCTCATTCGGACAGCCGGGCGGCAGCCGCGGCGCATCATTCCCGGGTGGATTTCACCGCTTCCCTGAATTCTGCCACCAAACCGCGGCCCTGCCACCTCCCGGTTCCTCGGGGCCGGGCCTGGCGGGGCCGTGGGGGCCGGGCCGGGCTCTCACCGCCCACCGACGGGGCGGTGCGGGGGGCGGCCCGCGGAAGCGATCCGGGGAGGAGGCGGCGATCCCGGGCGGCGGGCGGGGGATCCCGGGCGGAAGCGATTCCCGGGCCAAGGCGGCGATTCCCGGGCGGAGGCGACCCCGGGCGGCTGATCCCGGGCGGGGGAAGCGATCCCGGGCGGCCCCACCATGAAGCTCATCATCCTGGAGACGTACTCCCAGGCCAGCGAGTGGGCGGCCAAGTACATCCGCAACCGCATCGTCCAGTTCGGGCCGGGCCCCGGGCGGTTCTTCACGCTGGGGCTGCCCACAGGTGGGTGCCGGGGGGTGGGAGCGGGGCCGGGGTCCAGCCCGGCCCCTGCCCCGGCTGAGGCGGCGGCTCCCCGCAGGCAGCACCCCGCTGGGATGCTACAAGAAGCTGGTGGAGTATTACCGGAACGGGGACCTCTCCTTCAAGTACGTGAAGACCTTCAACATGGACGAGTACGTGGGTGAGTGCCCGCAGCCAGCGCTCCTGGCTCTCCTGCCCTGCCCTGCCCTGCGCTGCCGGGGCTGTTTGTCTCGGCCCTTGCGCTGGTGCCGCAGCGAGACAGCCCATCAGTGCGTGGTGGGGCAAGAAATTCCACCTGCAAAGGGCTCCAGGTAAGATGGAACGACATTTCATAGAAAGGCGGGATTCACTGAATCAATTAGGATGGAAAAGACCCCTGAGATCATCGAGTCCAACCTATGACCAAACACCATCTCAACCAGACTGTAGCACTGGAGTGCCACGTCCAGTCTTTTCTTAAACACCTCCAGGGAATTAGCCAAGGGAATGACAGGGACAATTAAATAACCTATGGAAGAAATCCGAAGTTTTTTCCATAAGTTTGAAAACCTATGGAAAAAAAAGCCAGACACTGAAGGGTATCGGGTGTTGGCTGTATTACACACACTTTTACAGACACTGCTGCATTTTACCTCCACTCAGGTGCTGGCCACGTAAGGAACCAGCTTATCATTGCAAGCTCAGATAGTGTGCAGTGTTAACTACCACCTTTGCTCTGGGACTATAAAGGTCACTGTAGCTCAGGTCCCTTACTCAGTGTGTTGCCTGAGTGCCCTTCAGTAACTCCTGCTAAGATAGCAGGGGACTGTTTCTTTTCTGAAGCCGTGGTGAAAGAGCCTCTTCGGAAGAAAGAGAGATCCAAAGGTGAAAAACATGCAGGCTAAATATTTGCTAATGCTAATTTTACCCTGGTCAAGATTTTTTTCTGTGAACAATCCTAACTAAGCAGCATTAGGGAATAAGCAGTCCAGTGTGGGTTTTTAGCATTCAAAGGGAAAAAATGTGCAATAATGATATAATTATTATTTCTCTAGCTTTTGCACTTTTTTAAAATCACAGTTGCTAATATGAACTGGGAGGAAGGCTGAAAAGGTACTGACAGATGAGGCACACTACACACCTGCTTTTCTGAGAGTCTGCTGCATTTTACTAAGGGCACACGTCTTATAGGAGCTGTTGTGATTGACTTTAATTCTGCTATTTAGGAAAATAAAAACAACTTGTGAAAGCTGAGTGAGTGACAAAGGACAGGTAGAGCAGTGTTCCATTACCAAAGCCACTCCAAGGGTATAGAAGTGCTTTACGTTATATTTTTCCAGTTGGTCTTAGTGCTGCACGTGCTCTGTTATTAGGTCTCCCGAGGGATCACCCAGAAAGTTACCATTCCTTCATGTGGAATAACTTCTTTAAGCACATTGACATCTCACCAGAGAATGTCCACATTTTGGATGGAAATGCACCTGATCTCCAGGCAGAGTGTGATGCATTTGAGGAGAAAATCAAAGCAGCTGGAGGAATTGAACTCTTTGTTGGAGGTGAGAATTGCCAGGATTGTTCACTTCCAGTGTTTTTCAGTCCACTACCCTGGGCACTGATGTTCGCTGGCAGCCTTGTCTCCCAGTGTACTGCTACCACAGTTTTCTGTCTTTCAATCCAGTCAGTCAATCGTTCAGGAAATGATTAGCAGGAGAAATGGGAAAAGCTAGAATTGTACAAATACAAAATGTATTACAGTTGCCAGTGCTGACAGCAAAGTCCTGAGAGTGGTTAGAGTCCTCTGAGCCAAGGGGCCTTTTGCTGTCATTCCTACCAGACACAAATTTGAGCTTGACCAGAAGAACTGCAGGTGTTTTTCTCAGATCTGTGTTTCTGGAAGCACCGACTGTCCTTCCCATGGTAGAGCTGTTGGCCCTGCTCCTACAGCTGACTCTCTTCTCCCGCTGTCTCTGTCCCAGGGATCGGCCCGGATGGTCACATTGCCTTCAACGAGCCGGGATCAAGTTTGGTGTCCAGGACACGAGTGAAGACCTTGGCCATGGACACCATATTGGCTAATGCCAGGTTCTTTGATGGTGACCTCTCCAAAGTCCCCACAATGGCCTTGACAGTCGGAGTAGGCACTGTCATGGATGCCAGAGAGGTTAGGACAAAAGCAGTGGCTTCCCACAGTATCTCTGGAGCTGATAAAAGTTAACCTGTTTTGGAGCAACAACCCTGACTGCCCTTCTCTGTGTCTTGGGGTGCAGGTGATGATTCTGATCACAGGAGCCCACAAAGCCTTCGCTTTGTACAAAGCCATAGAGGAAGGTGTCAACCACATGTGGACAGTGTCTGCCTTCCAGCAGCACCCCAACACCGTGTTCGTGTGTGACGAGGATGCCACGCTGGAGCTCAAAGTCAAGACGGTGAAATACTTTAAAGGTGAGTGTTTGACCAGGCCAGGCAGCTGGTTTGTTAGTTTTTAAGTGGCAGGAGCCATGCTTTGCATTAGATGTTTCCCTTTAATCAAATCCCAAGGGAGTATATTCCTTAAATATACTACAATAATCCATGTGAAGGTAAATGCTTAAGTGCTTGGGTGTAAGGGCAAAGGAACAAGGACCAGTAATGTCTGATTTCATCAGCATCCAGTGAATGAGAATTTTGCTTTATTATGTCTACTTAAATCATCTTTTTACTTTCTCCATCAGGTTTAATGCTGGTTCACAACAAGCTCGTGGAGCCCTTGTACAGCATGAAGGAGACAGGAGCAGAGAGGAGCCAGTCTAAGAAGCCGTACAGCGACTGATCTGCTCGGGGTAGTGCTGAACCAGCTGATGAAACCAGCTGGGAATTTCTACAAAAACTGGTCTCATATTTGTTCTTAAATTAGCAGAATGATCATATGGTTGCTTCTCTCCATTAAAGGGACAGATGCCAAACACCTGCCTTAATTAACCAAATGGATGGATCCAGTGCACTGTGTTCCACAAAATTCTGTCACTATCTCATTCTCTGAAGGTAAAGTCAGTGAAGGATGAGTTGTTTGATCTGTGAACTGACCGTAATCTTGGACTGAAGGCTGCAAAACTGAAATGTGAGGATAAGTGAAAGTACAACACAAACCGAGTGGGTAATCACTTTGGGGTGTATTCCTTGCAATTAGGACGAGTACCTCCTGGGTCATTCCTTCTCCATGAAACACTCCTGCATTAGAATAATGGAAAATGGGAAGTGAACTTGTCCAGCTGGAGAAGGGAAAGCTTCACATGGCCTCAGAGCAGCCCCACAGCCAGGAAGGGGTCAGCGAGAAGAAGCCAGGAGGAAGATGAGAAGAGAGAGTGGGACCTGACCGGAGACACAATGCTCAGACTGGATAGAAAGAGAAAACCTCCCCATGGGGACAGCCAAGCAATTGGGCAGATTCCCCAGAAGCTGTGCAGGCTCTGTCCTTAGGAGGTTTCCAAAATCTGACTGGATAGAGCCCTGGCTGAGCCCTGCTTTAAGCTAGATGTTGGACTTGCGATCACCTCAGCACAAGAGGCTACAGCAGGAGTCACCCACACGGGGTTAATCATGCACTTTAGGCATCTGAGAATGTTACTGGTGTCACACAAGAAGTCCTTCATGTTCAGTCCCAGGGTATAATTTTCTATGCTCTGGTGCTTTACAAAGTACTCAGGAGGGTAGATTTGTTCAGATGAAGCAGCAGTGACCTCTCTGTGCTCAGCACTGTTCACTGTAACAGTGCAGAGCCTGAAGCAATGTTCTCTCTCTCCACTCCAGAACTTTCCATTGCTCTGAGGAAATGCCAAACCAGCCTCCAAGGAAATGCTCTGTTCCCACTGGCTTCAGCCTCTCTTTAATAACAGAAGTCCCACATGGGTGGACAACAGCCCGTACTGGCAAGACCCCACTAATTCTGAAATGTGATTCCTGGGATTCCTGTCCAGTGCTACCACAGGAGGGGCAAGAAAACTGGGCAGCATTTATTTTCTTTATGCAGAAATTTTGTAAGCTGTTGATCTGTAATGCAACTTTCCACACTAAACATCTTTAATTTTTTCTAAATGGCAGAATTGACTGTATGTGTGTTTGTGAAACCAAAGCTGAGCTGGAAGCAGTTTGGTAGGAACAGCTCCTGCTGCTCCCTACTGCCTTGCCCAGCATTTGCTGGCAGGTTTCCATCAGACACCTGCTATGGTTCTGTCCTGCCAGGCAGCAGGCATGCCACATGAAAAAGTGGGGGCCTTTAGAGGAGAAAGAGGAGGCCACAGCTCTACCTGGTACCACAAAGTGTTTGTAAATAATTTAATTGCATGCACAGAAACGGTGACAGTGAGGTTTTCAAGAGGGGAAAAGACAGAGGGAGAAAATCTGCACCCTGTTGACAGAGCTGCTGCTCTGCTTTCTCTACAGGTTGCTTTTAGCTGTCCTGCCTTTGCAGCACCAGCTGATTGTCCTACATGTGCAGTCATCTGCTTGTCCCCTCCCCAGGGAGTCTGTCCTCCTCTGCCTCGCTGCAGGATCCGGAAACTCCAGCCCAGGGGTCCCCGAATTTATAGACAGGGTGGTGGCTACATCACTGCACCTTCTCCCTCCCCACAAAGGCCTTGAAAGCTGAGGTGGTTCATTGCTACATCATCCAGTACTTCACTACTTGTGCTCTGGTACATCCCCAGCCACGGATCTTCATCCCAATGTACCCTTTGGCATCCCAGCCCTGCCCTCAGCCCACCTCTGCCCAAAATTCCATGAGCAGAGCACATCCTGTGCCAGCTTCATTTGGGAGCTCTGAGCCCAACTCTGGGTTGTCTCATTCCACAGCCCCATGGCCAGTGGCCACCTGTGCTGCCAAATCCATGCCAGAACGAAGACAAACATGGAGACAACTGTGTTTGCCATCTTAAAGTGAATTTAGTGCATGTGAAAGGTGCAGGAAATGCAATTCAAACCATACACAAAGTAAACTTTTCCTACACACTGACCTACAGCCTAAACCATGGTGAGATTCACTCTTACCATCTCACCTTTTTAATCTCTGCCTCTTCTGACAGTATAGACTCTCATCCTCTGGGACAGGAACTGAAGCAGCACTCATTTTGGCCACATATCCCAGTATAAATTTATTAACTATCAGTCAAAACTGAGTGAGAGGTGATCACTTTGAGTTTCTGAAGAGTCTTCCATCTCCTGACCTATCCCTCCATGCCCTGTTACTTCTGAACACAGCACACTTTGATTTCCAAATAAACTTTTAGACTGTTCTGCAAGTGGAAAAACCTGTAAAAAGTTAGTGGTTCCCTCTGGTTACCTTCATGCTTATAAAAGTATTTGCTGAAATTTTAGAGCAAACAATTTAGTTTCTGAGTAATTTGAAGTGCAAAACTAGTGGAAATAAGGGATCTAGTCCAGAAGCAAAAGTATCAACTAATCAAATTTTGTATGTGAAGAGTTAGTAAAAAATAAATTACTTCTTCATCTGAGAATACAAGGTAGTTGTCAGTATCTTGAAGAATCATCTTTGCCTGGTACTTTTCACCCTCTCACATCCTCAGCTCACTGCCTTAACACTCATCACTGGAAAAGCAAGGAGAGGCAATGGGAGTGAATCCAACAGGAACACCAGGATGAGTCACCAACCTGACAGAAATTTCTGGAAAAGGCTGTTGGTCATTTTCTGCCCAAGCACTCAGGGATGCAAAGGCCCAGGCACAACAGCCAGCGAGAAGGGGGTTCAGGATAATCAGCTTTAATGTCATTAGAAAGTACCAGTGACAGAGCCATGAGCTGCTTTTCAGAGAAACACGTCAGGAAATTCATAAAAGCAACAAACTTTGTTGCTAAATTTAGAAGAAATTTTCTGTACTGTGTCAGAAAACTTCCCCAGTCCAAGCAGCACCACTGAACAGCTCCAGAAACAGCTCCACAGCTCTAACAAACCGCCCAAAACCCCACAATATTCGTGATCCAAGAGTCTCCAAAGATCAGTCTCCCTAAAGAAACCCCCAAATCTTTCCATGATTTGAGGCTTCTGTTTGCTTTTAAAAAGGAAGCGTCTCTTGGTATACATTTTTCCAGTAATTTTCCAACTTCTGACTGGTTGTATTTAATGTGGTATGTCTTTAATAATCGATGGGATTAGGGTATTCCATGATGATCCTGACCCCAGGATGGGTAAAACGGTCTCCTTTGGCTTTGGCAACAGGCTCTGAGGTGTGAGTATCCTGCAGTGCAGGGTAGTTGCCACTCTTCTATCACACAATGGAAGTGAAAAGCAAACAAAGGACACAAAAAAAGCATCTGTCTCTGGTTTGTTCACCTTTTGTTGCTGGAGAAAGCTACTGGTCATCATCTTCAACTTCCCAGAACTCCCCATCATCAATGTGCATGGCTTGAAACAATCTGCAAGACAGACAATTAATGATAATAATGCTAAATATGTTAAAAACGATCTAATTGCAACAAAAAGTACAAAAACAGTAAGCTTCACTGGTTTTTTCAGTATCACAAACCACTCGTGCTGTCAGTGTCAATTAAAGTAAGGGACTCTGCATTTCTACAGCTCGTTACACCAGAGGGTTTGATGGTACCTTACACACATCATGTCCCAAGAAATCCCTGAAAATATTAATCATCCAAACCATATTAAAGTTACCCAGCAGGCTGCTGTTCCTGGGTGGTCTTTAGGCAGGATATAATCAGCAGCCAAACCTGCCTGCTCCAGACAACTCACAGTCTCACTGGACACATGGAATTGGGCAAATAAAACATATGAGCATCAGTTGGGGCACAGGGGGGACAAAAAGGCACTTGGGCAGTGCTAGGGTAATGGCTGGACTGGATGGTTTTAGGTCTTTTCCAACCTAAATGGTTCTATGAGTCCCTGATTCTAAATTATTCTTTATAAAGCACATGAGCTTAGTCAAGATGGGGGGAGGTTAAGCTAAACTAAAATAAAAAAGGACAACAGAAGAAAAAGAAAAAGGAAAACAGAGTAAGAAGTGAAAAAATACTGTTGGGAGAAGAGAGAATGCTGAAAAAGGGCTAAGTACAAGAAAAATCCTGTCAGCCACATGGCAGAATGGATGGTGAATTGAGAAGGTTATTGGGATTTTGACTTTAGATCCAGGCACTACCATCCCTGTGAGGGGCACATGTCCCTGTGGAATACACAAAGCCGAGAGGCTGCCACTGTCACATCTCTCTGAGCTGCCTTTCCCCTGTCCTGACAGCAGCAGCACCCTCTGTCCCTTGATCCTTCCCCACAGTGATGATGTGAGGCAAGCTGTTTAAAAGCAGCTTTCTGACCCAAAACCTTGTGCTGCACCTGAGCATCTCCATGGAAACACTTCCCTGCAGGCTTTGTGCCAGAGGCAGAGGCAGCACAGAAAGGATGGGGTCATGACCCTGACCAAAAATAAATCAGGAATATGCCCTGAAGACTCCTCCAGAATTTTGAAACAAAAATTCTTAAAAAGCAAAAGCACATCCTGAATCATTCCGGATTTTTACTGTTAGCGTTGGGTCCTTGTAAGGGTAAATATTTGGGAGAAAAAACTGTATCTTAAACTAAAGCAACAAATTCCAAGGTAAAAATCTGGGAGAGACTGTAAGAAAAAGTAGAGAGTAAGTGTTCCAGCACTAGAGGAAACACCTGTAAGCACAAACCTGTTAAAGCAGGGGGAAGAAGGGTCATTGAAGTGCCGGTAGGGGTTGGCCCTGGACAGAGAGCCCATGCAGATCCAGCAGAAGTACTGCATGCACCCTGTGCACGTCATTTTGTTACAGCCATCGAGCTTCTGGGGGCAAAAACCAAGAAACAGCAACATCAGCATCTTACTGTGTCAGGCTTCAGTCTCTCTATGATAACAGCCCTCAAAACTACACCAGCCAATTAGCACATTCAACCCCAACTCCATCATATACTGATTTTTTTTTTTTCACTGTTCAAAAGAACTGGGAGCTGGAATCCCAGCACTGTATATTGGCTATACTACTAAAAATATTGGAAATTAATATTTTTCTGAAGCTGGTTTTATTTCCTGGCTATAGTGTGAAGCAACAGTAACCTGAAACACGCAGGAAATGGAAGGATTCATACAAATCCATAGTCAACCTGGATCTGTTTAGTACTGGAGCCTGAACACCACCAATTGCTGGATGATCTTAAATCCCTGAGCTCCACAAACATCACCTCACCTCCTTTTCCACGTAACACAGACAGAAATGGAAAGTTCTCTTAATATTTCCTAGAAATTCCCCTTGCCTGGTGAAGCTGGAGGCTACAAACACACCTCTGTCCCAGCCTAAACACTGAACTGCCCTAATTTCTGCTTATTTCTGTTCCCATGATTTTCCAGCCTTTCCCTCCACGCTCACCTCTATATGAGTTCCACAGCAAGGACAAGACTTGGAGTTCTTTTCCAGCCATTCCTTACTTTCCATCTCCTCGAGGGCTTTCTGAATCACTCGCTTGCCATAGCGCTGTTCCAAAAATCTTTTAGTTGCCTCGTCTGCTTCCAAATAGCTGTTTCGTAAATCCATTAATTTCTCTGGGGAACAAACCCAAAGCAAACCAAACAGCTTTTGTGATAAATCATATCAAGAGGTCCAGCTAACTGCAGCATAAAGATTTTCAAAGGAAACTAACAGCGTTCATTAAAAAGAAAGAAAAATATAAACATCTCTGCCCCAAAATTCAAGTTTTACACTGTTTCATTATAGAAGAGACATGTCAATGAAATTAGGACAAGTCTACAATGTAAACTTTTGAAAATGGAATTTTCTCTGAATACACATTTAGTGAAACTTGGTCACAGGATTTTGAAGCCAAAGAGAGAAGCCTCCACCTGATTTCAGTATTAACTGACTACACAAAGTAGTGGATTACCATGAAAGGGTAAAAAAAATATATATATAAAATTATTCTTCCCTTCCTATGGCCTCTCAGCATTTGACAATCAGCAGTTTGGGGACCTCCTAAGCTCTGGAGTGTCATCAAAGGAATAATATTTAATTGCCAGCAACAGACAAAATGAATGTGTCTGGTCTCTGAAAAAGCTCACGGGGAGGAGTTTCCTTTCTCAATTTCTGACTATTTCATACAAGATTTAACTGCACCTTGGGGGAGGGTGGAGGGGCCTCACCTGCAGTGACTTTGCACGGAGACACCCCGTGGTAGGTCATCTTGCAGAGGGTGCAGAAGGCGTAGTTGCAGCAGGAGCAGATGCCCATGGTGCAGCCGGGCTCCTGCATCACGGGGGTCTGGCAGCCCGGGCGGGGGCAATAAACCACATCGGCCATCAGGTCCAGGCTGGACTGCAGGAGCAGTCGGTCATAGCGGGCAAACAGCTCCTCTCCAACCAGCTCCTTCACCTAAAGGCCACAGGAGATGTTAGGAAAAAATTCTTCCCTGTGGTGGTGGTGAGCCCCTGGCACAGGTTGCCCAGAGAAGCTGTGGCTGCCCCATCCCTGGAAGTGTCCAAGGCCAGGTTGGACGGGGCTTGGAGCAACCTGGGATAGTGGAAGGTGTCCCTGCCCATGGCAGGGGAGTGGAATGAGATGAGCTTTAAGGTCCCTTCCAATCCAAACTGTCCTGGGATTCTATGATTACCTGCATCTGAAATTCTGAGCCTCCTACCCTCAGCAAAACACAGTAAGTCAATGAAAAAATCCCTACAGTTGGGATGAATCCACTTAATTCTCTAACAGGTCATGAAATTGAAATGCTATTCTAATAATAATTAGGAAAAGCATGCAGTGTTAAATGGAATGGGAGGCTGCTGATCAATGCCAGTACTAATAAACTGGGAAAAATAGGTGCCAAGGGATACAGTTTTAACTCCAATGACTCTGTGTGCCTCAGAGCATGATGATGATGTCCCCACATATATTCCCTGGAAAATGTCCCCAGGAATCCTCCCTCTGTGCTGGGCACTACTGAAGCACCTCCAGTTCTCGGGTCAGTTCTGGGCCCCTCACAACAAGAAAGACATCGAGGGGCTGGAGCGTGTCCAGGGAAGGGCAACAGAGCTGGGGAAGGGAATGGAGCACAAGGAGCAGCTGAGGGAGCTGGAGGGGCTCAACCTGGAGAAGAGGAGGCTCAGGGGGAACCTTCTTGCTCTCTACAACTCCCTGACAGGAGGGGGGAGCCAAGTGGGGGTCGGGCTCTGCTCCCTGGGAACAAGGGACAGGACAACAGAAAAAGGCTTCAAGCTATGCCAGGGGAGATTCAGGTTGGACATCAGGAGGAGTTTTGTCTTGGAAAGGGTTTCAGTCATTGAAGGGGCTGCCCAGGGAGGTGATGGAGTCCCCACCATGCAAGGTGTTTAAGGAATGACTGGACATTACATTCAGTGCTCTGGTCTGGTTGACAAGGTGGGGATTGGTCACAGGTTGGACTCTGTGATCTCAGAGGTCTTTTCCAACCTCAGTGACTCTGACATTCCCAATGCTCACCATGCAGAGCCACACTCTGCCCCTGTAATTTGGGGTGAGTTAACAGGACCCTCCAGCCCTGTGTGCACACGTGTGTTACCTGGCCAGGAGTGGCGACAGAAGAACACTTGGGCTCGGGGCAGTTGAGGCAGTGGACCTGCCCGTCCCTGATTTGAATCTCAAAGTAGTCCTTCAGGCAGGCTTTGCAGTACACGTGGCTGCAGTCGGTGAAGTGCATGCACTCGCTGCCCAGCTTCTCACAGAAGCAGATATTGCACAAATACATCTTACTGTTAAAGCACTTTCTCCTCTGGGCCTGGTCAAAGTCCAAGATTTCCCTGATGAGACTTGACAAGGACTCCACGTCCTGCACAGCTCTGGCATCCATGATTTCCTCCTCAGCTGTGGCAGAGCCTGCTGCACCCCCACAGTCCTTCCCAGCATCGAGAGGCCCCAACTGCGTCCGGTTCTGTGCTTTCCCTTGAGGGCACATTTTTAGCTCATATGGGGATGAAATATTCAGGTAACTCAGTGTTTCTTCCTTCAGAAACTGCATCCAGGCAAACAGGACCACACAGCCTCGATTCTCTTCCCACACATTGTCCAAGTGTTTGCAAAGAGCGCTGAGCTGGAAAAGAGCAAACAATTCCTGATTTGGGTTAAGTTCAGACAACTCCTTAGTGGGTTCCTCTCCTCCCATGGTCCAAAGTGCATGCTTTGATTATAGATTCACTAGTTTTTAATCTACCCATAAAATGCATATGAAATAGTTCTCCTCAGTGCAAACTCTCCTTCCTCAGAATAGTGACCAAGTGAAAACAAGAAGACGACAAAAGAAGAGCCAACTGAAGAGCAATGCCATTATTTTTTTTTTAACTTTCATCAACATTCCCCATAACACTGTTAATTATTAACTTGCTCAGCTCTGTCAAAATGTTAAAAATCTTCTGCAAACCTGGGCCTGGGAGAGCCATTTCCCACTGAGGGTGAACACTGGTGGGGACGTCGATGGGTAGTCAGGTGGGAGCTCAAAATTCAGCACGAGGGGAGGCAGGAAGCACACGGAGTACTCGAACCCACTGCTCTGGAGGCTTTCTGTGGAACTGCCTGAACCTGAGACAACCGAGGCAGGTTGAGAAACAACAGGAAAATGAAAACTAATGAACTGTCGCTGTTTATGACAGCAGCCAATGTCTTTTAATTTGATACACTTCTGGGGTTAAAATTATCTGTTCAACCCTAAATAACAAAACTCAGTGCAGTAAAATGCCACAGGGGTTGTAGCTCTGTGATTAAAGCAGAACACCAGAACTGTGAAATGTTAGATCCTGCACAAACCAGGAACCTGGGAAGACATATCCTCAAGGGAATAAAAAAAACAGTAAGTGAACCTAATTATTCTGAAGAAATACTATTACTCATCTGTAATTCTAAAGTTTACTAAAGAAGTTGCGTGTATGAGGATTAAACTACTCAAATAAAAAGCCCAACACTACCACAAGCACAGCATAGGCTGAGCCATGGCTTTGTCCAGTCACTGCTCCTGCAGGACACTCCACAACCAGAAAACGAGCGTGGTAACACCTCCTTGGGGATAACACAAAACATCTCAACTCACCACTCACAAAAATTTTGAAGTCTTGAGGCAAGTCCAGACAAATTCTTGTTTCTCCTCCTTGGGCGGACTCAGCTCTCTTAAACTCATCTTCATCATAGATGCTGGCCAGAGCCAGCAGCTCATCCTCCTGAGCTTCCTTGTCCTCTGAAGACATTTAACTTTCCTGTGGAGTTACCACCACTCTGCAACATCAACCGAGTTAACACGTCCTATTCCAATGATTAATTTGGGATATCTACTTTACACTACTATGAGAGTTAGAAACCCAAGTAACAATGTGAAATATAATTAAGGAAGTTCCACAGGTTGAAAAAATATTGGTAGTGTTATAAAATAAAATAACCCAATAGAATATTGAGAAGTCAGAAAGTAAACTGTGTGTTAGTAGCCAAAGACAGATGAATAATGAAATACAGAGATGGCACAAGTGACACAAGGACATTTCATTGGTGTTTGAAAGAGAAAACAGACCCCCAAAAAAGGAATTAGTAACGGCAGCTCTTGTCCAGTGTTCTAAAGCAAACAAAGAAACGGGACGGGAAACAAGGGATGGGAAGCCGTATTTGTAATTAGTCAGTGAAGATATCGCTAAAAAGGTTCTAATGCTGCACAGGTATCTTGTAGAAGCGGCCCTAGGGCATCTCTCAGTTCCAAATTTGGGAAAATAAAGCCACATCTGATGGATTACCTTCAGACTCACAGCAGCGCGGTGGCAGGGCCGAGGTGCCGGTCCGTGACCATTCCTGTTTGGGGCCGGGGTCGGGCACTTCTCATGTAAGGCACGAACACGTCGGTGCTGTCTGCGGGAGGAACCTGCGGTTCTGGCAGCGGCTCTGGGGCTGCGGGCGGAGAAACAACAGGCGCTCAGGGGTTAAAGCCCTCTCCGCGCTCCCATCCCCAACACCCACGGCAGCGCAGCCGAGCGGGGGATGTTTATTCCCAGCTTGAGGAGCAGTGGCCGCGTTGCGCGTCCCGGGCTGTCCCAGGGGCCCCAGCACGGGGTGGGCACGACCCCAGGGGGATGGGAGGAACGGGAGTAGTTGAGGAATAACCCCCAAAGTCGAGGCCGAGCCTGGCGCCGGCGGCCCCGCCGTTGTTATGGCGGTTACAGCCGCTCCCACCGCTCCGCCTGACGCCGGGAGCGCCGCGGGAGCAGCGGGAGCACCCGCGGGGCTCGGGCCGGAGGGAGGCCCGGCCCGGCCCCGCCTCACCCGGTCGCTCACCCGGCCGTGCGGGCTCGGGGACGGCGAGGGGGGCCCGGCTGAGCCCCTGGTGGAGCAGCGGCAGGGAGGGAAAGGAAGGAAAGGGAAGGGAAGGGAAAGGACGGGAAGCGCTGCCGGGCGGAGGAGGCGCCGGCCCGGCCCAGCCCCGCAGCTCCCCCGGTGGCCGGGAGGGCCGGGCCGACCCAGCCCGAGGGTGCTCAGGGAACGGTCGCCCCTCCCCACCCCAGACAGGTCCCCGAGTCCCCCGAACCATCAGCGATACTTCTTTACATTCACACACTCAATCTCACCATGAAGAACCTCTTTCCCTGGAAGGTGGCAGAGCACTGGAACAGCTGCCCCAAGGAAAGTGCTGAGTCTCCCTATCTGCAGACATTCCAAACCCACCCGGACTCGTTCCTGTGTCTCCTGTTGCAGGTGATCCTGCCTGGGGAGAGGGGGTTGGACTCCAAAGGTCCCTCCCAACTCCAGCCATTTCGTGGTTCTGTGATTAGGGTGGGCTTGAACCGACACCCCTCACACCCCGCCAAACCCCTGCGGGCAGGGAAGCCCTGCAGAGCTCCCTGCACACTCCAGCAAGGAGGGACACAGCCCTTCCATCCACCCCGACACCGTCCTCTCCTCCATTGGAATCAACAGCTGAAGAAGGTGATCCAGTAGAATCCAGTGCATTTATTTCTTGCAATATCTGAATGGGTGTTTTTTTCAGCTTTGGATTTTAACACATACAAATTAATGTTTGCAAGTTTAATAACAATCAGTACTAGAAGCAAATCATTGTATAAAGCTCATAGAAAAAAAAAAAAAAAAAGCCAAATCCATCAGTTCTTGGTTTTCCTGGAAAAAAAAAAAAAACAAACCAAAAAACCAAGCATTCCAAATGAAGGCCTCGTGGAAGCAAGCATACCCCTGCCAGAAAAAATTAGGAACAAGTCAGAATCAACTATCAGCATAGGCAGCTGAAATACAAGAATTCACTCTTTCTACAAGCAGCTAACTTAACTAGAGACAAAGAGTTACAGGGCCTAATTAGCTGGGGAGTTTGCCAGAAACCCAATTCCATGTCCAGGAGCACATTCCGAGTCTGATTCGAAGTCTAAGCTAAGGAATAAAGGTGCTGATGAACCACCCCTCTGCTCTGCAAACCTTCTGTAACCATCAACTGCTCCAGTACAAATCAGAGTGAGTCCAGAGCAGGCATGAACACTAAAACACAGGCAATGGAAGACTCTATCTCGGGCTCTCCCCTTCCCTCCCTGCAGTCCCAGCTCCTGCAATCCCCAGGGAAAGGGAAGAGCAATATGAACATCAGACTTCAGGTGTTGCTGTCGCTGTCCTTCAAAGGAAGATTGGCTCACCCTGGACATTAAAAATGGAGAAGCAGGTTATGGCTGTTCCTATAGGGCTAATTAAACTACCAAAACTTCTAAATACAATCAATAACGGCAAACACTGCTGAGCTGAGCGAGTCCTTTGCTACCTCTGTGTTCTGACCTGCTGCCCTGCCCAAACCTCTCCAGGAGTTACCAAGAGCGCTGTGGGATTCTCTTGCTTCAGTTTGGATTCAGAACATACAAAGTTGACAACTTAAAGCTTTATTGTAGTTTGCAATAATATAAACAAGTGCTGAAATTCAGTCAATGTCCATTTCTGGAAGCTTCTTCTCGGTGGCTGTGGGGGCAGTGCCCTGCTCAGGGGCCTGGGCCCCGCTTCTGGCATCTCCCTGCCCGTCCACTGGTCCGTTCGGTTCCGTCGGCTTCTGCTCCTCCTTCGGCAGTTCCACCTTGGGTTTGGGTTTGTTGACTATGGGATTACAAATACTTGTCAATTCCTACAAAACACAGAAACAAACATCATGGGAAATGTTTTTAACCTCCCCACAGTTGTACTTAACTTTTGAGAGCACCACTGGGATATTCAAGTTGAGGGTTGATGTTCCCCAACACATTTGAGATTTCTCACCTCAGTGTTTTCTGAGCACAAAAAACTAGACCAATAAGCAGAAAAAATCATGGAAATACAGCGATTTACGTAGAAAAACTTACTTTAGTTTTAGCCTGGATGTCTTTCGCTTTTATAACTGGGTCCAAAGTAAGACTTCTCTTGTTCTGCAGATTGAGGTTATTGTTCATCCACTCCATGGCTTCATTCGCGTTCTTCTCTACCTTTGCCATGTCAGCTTCATCGAGGTGCTCGTACTGTTCATCCTAAAATAGCCAAAGCAGGAGCAGCTCTGTGAATGTTTGAGCACAAACCGCACCCTTATTTCTTCAGACTTTTAGCTTCAAAATACTAAAGACAACTGAGCCAGGAAGCTGCTCTGGTTAGCAGAGAACTGAGCTGATTACCAGCTCTGTAACCAGAGACCTGAAGTTCTACTGCTGCTGGCATTCTCCCTCCACAAGGAAATCAACACCTGATAAAAAAAGAGACTCAGGCCTGCAAGCCAACATCCACTTAGGAAAAATCTATTAAACGCTCATAAGCTCGCCAGGAAGTAGCACCAGCTTTTTGTCTGAAGCACCTTACCTAAAATTCAGGCAAGATCTGTACCATTTTCTTACATTTTCCAGAAATTAAAGTGTGGAAATACCTTTGCTTTGAATGCATGAACAGCTTTCATGTACTGTTGGATTTGCTTCCCCAGCTCCTCAAATGCTTTTGGTCTTTCCTCCGATTCTTGGAATCTTGCCTGAATAGGCTGACCCAGAGTCTGAAACAAAGCACAAAGGGTATCAAAATCCATGGAGCATTACTGTGGGATCCTGCAAGGTTTGATGGGATACACCAATGTTTCTAAACTCCTTGGAACTCTGACTCTTCTTTCCACTTACAGGGAAGACTGAGCCTCCCTCAACCCTGTGTTGTTACAGGTCTATTGAGAGCTGCCCCTTGCATAATTCAAAACCAAACCAAGCAGTTTGTCACCAGTGCTCACCTCCTCCAAACCAGCAGACCCCAGAGAGCTCCTCACTGCAACAACAGCTTCAGTAAATTCCCATGGGAATTTAAGAACCACTTACCTTCAGTTCTGTCAATTTATCAATGTATATTTGCTTGGGCTGGTCTTCACCATCTTCATAAAGCCAATTTTCTGTATCTTCCAGCTTCAGCGTGAAGCTATTCCGATCCTGAAGCAACGCACACAAAATAGATGGTGAGGGAATTTATTAGATGACAGATGGCATTAAATGATACTCGGAGCCTTTCTGGAAGAGTTATATTTTTAGAACCCAAAGAACTCCAGCTGAAACTCTTTATCCTAAAGAAACAAAATATTCTTCTGTATGGCTCTGTGGCGGAGATCAGGCTCAAGGAAGAACCATCTGTGACACTCACAGTTTAGAACAATTCTGTAACATAAAAGGCTTCTTTTTCCCTCCTTCCCATTTTCATCATCACTATATGAGCAAGTCTGAGAACAGAGTGAAACTTATCTTTAGCTAAGATGTCATAAATGTCTTCTGACATGTCCCAGTTTGGGCTCTGATGTGGGTACTGGGCTCTGCAGACACCTGGCTGGCAAGGCTCCACTGTAATCAATGGAGATCCAGTCAGGAGTCCAGAGTGATTCATCCCACTAGAATTATATTAAATACACACCCAGCTCGTTCAGTACAACTGGGAAAGCTGATTAATAATGCCAAGAGAGTTTCAGGCAACCAATCCAGATACAAATTTAGCCCACATTTAGTCAGACTAATCCCACCTAATATGTTCCTGGGTAGGGTTGCTCTGTCTTAATTTTTCTGATCTTAAAACTATCCTAAATACTGACAAAGAGCCAAGATAGAACAGGTTGTCCTAAAATGATTGTGCAAGTTCTCCTAGTCTGGAAACACACCCTGATACCATCTTAATTGCTGCAACTGATTTGGAAGAGAACCAGCGGTTTGTGCCTGAGCCACGTTAGCAGATTATCTTCAGAGCCAGAAAGTTACAAGTTATTTCTTCAAATTTAAAGTCTGAATATATAAGCAAGCACAGTGAGTGATACAGGTCAAAAGTTATTAACTACAAGTGCTCATTGTAACACAACATATCAAAGGACAATCCAGCAGTACTCACATCTTCACCAACGAACTTCTCATAAACACTGCAGAGTTTGTCCCTCATTTCATACACATACTCTTCCACTGCATTCTTGGCATCATTCCTCTCCTTTTCCAGCTTGTCCTGCATTATCATCTTACCCTGTGAACAAGTAGTCAAATTAGTTGGCTAAAAAGCAACTTATTTATTGTCAGGACACTTTGTGAGCAAAGGCTTAAGGTTGAAGGACATTTTGCAATATTGTAATTTATAGAACTGTTCTAACACAGCATATGAATAAAAATCAATTTGAGTTTTGGTGTGATATTCAAAACAGTACAGAAAAATCTTGCTCCAGCTGAGAAACTTTCACCCTGATGGGCCACCTGCACCCTGTAACTGCAGGTGATTTTGGAGGTTTCTGGCAGAACAGCTCTTCAGTGAGAGTTACAGCATCACTGAACAGGACGCATGTATTCTGCCTCCATGGGGCACTGTTGTTCACACCAGAATTTTAACTGCATGTTTTATTCCTTTTCCTTCCTTGACCAGCTTTAACCTTGTTTAATGAACACCAACATTTCTGGAGACCAATTTGTAACATTTTCAGCTTGGTCAAGTAAGAGTTTACCTCATTCTCAATGAATAAGTTGAGCATATCCTTCCCTATCTGCCACACCAACTGGTTCTCAATGGGAAGGTCCACTGTGGTCGTCTTCACTTTGGCCTTCTTGGCTTGAGGTGGCTGATCCACCTTCTTGTCTTTTGAGTCAGCCTGACAAGTCTGCAATGAAAAAATAAACTCATAGTAAAAACAACATCATCAGTCAGTTCAGATCGACCAGTCA